TAACTGGAGCACCTAGGTTAAAATGAAATGTAATTTATTTTGAATTTGGAACAAATAAAGAGTTAAAAAAAAAAAAAAAAAAAAAAGTTATACTCGTAGTTAGGTAGGTTTTCACTTTTTTTCAATTCAAACAAAACTCACCTCCAAAGGGGTATTCTGTAAACTAGTTGAAAAAAGCAGAAGAGTCCGTGTCTAGAGGCACGAACGGAAGCTTGACGTAGGACCGCTAGTGGACGGAACAAATATGTTGATCATTTAGTTCTTAACTCTTTCCGTTTTTGAATTGGTGGCCCTGAAAATGGCCGGTTGTTTTTCAAATGGTGCCACATCAGTGCAATAGTCAATGCCGACCGAATGACGGTGGCCTAGTCATGCTTCCTATTGCGGGAAGCCTTTCCTCCGATCAATGTGGGTGTTTTCGTCATCGTCGTCGTCTTCGTGCGATGCGTGCTGTTCCACTCGGACGTCGTGTCCCATGCTTATCTGTCCATTGCTCGAAAGCAAATGACGAAGAAAACGATATAGCAAGCGTTTTTATTACCGCTGGTTTTCTCCTCCCTTCCTTTCATTGGTGAAATTGAGAGCGGTTAACCGAGCATTGAGCTCGCTCATGTGAGAAAGCGGAATGTGTCGTGTGTTCGATTTGCGCTCTATCGTTGCGTCCATGTTTGGGATTTTTCGTTACATGTCTGAATTTTGTTTTTTTTTTAATGTGACCCCCAGTATAGAAATTAAAGACGTAGTCCTACGTCAACACGCAAATGTTGAATTAGAATATCAAATTAAACAAAGATGAAGAGCCAGGTATGCTAATCAATTAAAATCTGGATCAACAATAGAAAAGCGCCCATCAGAATTTGTAAACAAACCGTTTCAAAGCCCTTTACTCACAAAGCGAAGGCCACCCACGCAAACCAACACCATCATCGGATAGGGGAAACTTCTACCTAAACGATGATGTTGTTGATTTGTGTGGGGGGCCTTCGATTTGTGAGGAATGGGCTTTGGAACGGTTTGTTTACAAATGCTGATGGGCCCTTTTCTATTGTTGATCCAGAAATGTTAAATGAATCATCAATGATAATGAACAAAAATAAACATAATTTTACTACTACTGGAACAAGGCAAACCGGATTCCTTCCGTTTGGAGTTGACAAACGACTAAAAACTATGGTATGGTTTTTTATCTAATTTCCGTCCTACTCAGCACAACCCACGCTTTACCTCTGTATTCTGAACGAGTTTGAACAAAAAATGGAATATGTCTGTCAAAGATGACTTCTAAATTGATTCATCTTTCCATACGTACCGTTGGATTTGATAAAGAGTCACAAATTGTTGAGATATTGTTTAAAATCTAATACTGCTCCTTGATTCTAAATTCGTTCTACGAGTTTCAATTCCGTCCTAACGCATTGAAAGATTTTCTTCGTCCTACGGATAAACGTAGAAAAAGGGGATTCGCTAGGAGCACTTCTTTTGTTTTGACAACAATGAGCGTAAAAATTCATACAATGCGCTCTAACAGGATTTATGTTGTAGCTAATGAATTAACGCATAGGAACAAACCTATTATTGATTTGTGCACGGTGAAATCATTGATATTATTGATCGTTTCTGATCGATAGAACGGAAATGGCCGATTACGACGAAGTAGCGCTCTACCTTACCCAAGGGGAAATCAACTCTGCACACCTCAATCTGTGCCGATAGTTTTCGCTGTGCCGAAGCGTGTTAATCAAGTATCCCATGAGTTTGGCAACCCTGAAGACTTAATGACTTTTGGGATTTTTTATTTGTGATTGGGCAAGAAAACGTAGCGTGATACAAATAAATTTATGTATGCAGCCTAAAATAACTACTGCAGCATGGAAATTTCACCAGAATAAGCAAACCAAACCAAATCGGTTCAAAGAAGACTGATTGTAGCCCTGGTGCATGCCGGTTCCTTAGCTATACTCCGTCGGATGTGGTTCTTCATCCGTGGTGTTGACTGTGGAACAATACAACAACGATAACAACTGCGAAGTGGAGGTGGAACTGTCCAATCGTCTGCAAGCGGAGGACGGCTACATAAAGATTAGTGGGGATTTTGAAAAAAAAAAGTTTATCGACTTCCTCGAGGTGAACAACTTTGAGCTGTCGAATGTGTTTCTGTTGTATGTCAAGGGGGTGATTCTAAGGGGTTAATCACCGGGTTTAGGTTGTTGAAATATATTCAGGTATACCTTGATGTAACGTAACTGTCACTTTTGACTTCCATCGCTGACTTCTAGCTAACAACCTTAAGCAATGTAATAACACCATCAAAGATATAAGACAATCCTCCATCTATTGTTCAATCAAATTTGAATAATTTTTCGATGCAATCGATGTAAATACATCTCAGGTAATCATGACAGCAGTTGGTCTTTTTTCTTCATTCATATTGTTTTCAATAATCAAACGTCATGATCTCCTGGGTTTTGCCAAAAAAGGTAAATATTTACATTGATTGCACAAAAGAATTGAACTGTTATTTGTGAGATATCGACGATGGAAGTCAAAAGTAACAGGTACTTTATATTGAGGTATACCTGTATGGTTAGACGAACAAAACATAACACAATTTTTGGAAAAAACCTATCTAATATGTCAAATACTGCACAATAGGGTATCATAAACAGGAGGAGCTACCGATGGCTATGAAGATCGCTCATCCGAGGAGGATGATTTGTATGACGCTATGTATTTGACCACCGTGCATGTAGAATGGACCCATGTAAACCGTGAGTTCCGATACTGTCGCTACCGGAAACGACAAGCATTTGTTGTAATCACGTTGGTTGCAAAAGAGGATGACCCTGAGCGTGATCTGAGTTATTGGTGTTGCTGGTTATGATCTCGGCGTTGCTATTTATCACCACACTTTAACAATTCTTGCAGGGAATTAGACGAAGTACGGCTGCAGGAAAGATTGAGTAAAGTCCTATAGGTTTGACTTCTAATCCGGGCTACGATCGTCTAGTCCGATGGATTTATTAAATTCATCTTGAAGCGAAGAATGACTGTCAACAAAGTGCGAAACCTTAGCAACTATTGGAAAATCATCAGCAAAAAACCATGATGCCGTTTTATAATATATTCTGTGTCAGTCTTGTCAATTTGTGCGTGCCGAGCAGTGTGCCGTGGCACAGTGTGCAGAGTTGATTACCGCTTGATGGTACCGTTATACTGCCCATAATCGCATAGCAGTCCCATATGGATATGAAATCAAGTAAAGGTGGGACTGATATGTCATTATGGGCAGTATACCGTTGATGCTAAGAGGAAGAGGAGACAACTTCTTACACTTTTATCTCTATCTCTATCTATGGACCTTATTAAGGGTGTCACTACACGGTGATAAGGAAGTAATACTCATAATAAGAGCCGTAATTGCCGTACAAATCAAATAGGAATCACTTCACCGTGACGACAAGTGACAAGTTTTCACCGTGAATTGACATCCGTAATAAGCCCCTATATCTATCCCTATCTCTATCTCTATCTCTATCTTACACACTTACACGGCTAATCACGAGCTGGTTCGCGTTTGACAGAAAAGTGGTTCGTTTTCGCCCCCGTATTGTCTCCTCTTCCTCTTATGTTTTGCCTCATGCACAAGCAGCCAAACGCGAACCTTCATTACCTATATTCTGTAGAAGGGAAAAGTGAACGAAGACATAGTTGGCCCTACATTAAATTATAAACAACAATATTTTTGAATCAACCCGAGTTCCCGGTAAAGTAGGAAATGTTACTATCTATCGACATAGTTTTACATCTTACTTTAAGTATATTACTCTAAATTGATAGTACTTAGTATATATGGTGTAACGACACCATATACGTCCTCAGGAAACCTCTACTGGAACACTGGAAGAAGGATCCCGAACGACCGATATAGTGACCAGATTATAAACATTGTCCTAGAACCTTGCGATTTTTCTAAATTGTTTAGAATCACGAGATGAAAGCGCATTTAACATGGAAATTATATTTTGGGGTAAAGTGGCAATACTCGAGTTCTCCGGATAATCCAAATTGACCGATAAAGTGCCCACATTATAACAATTGTCTTAGATGCTTGCGGTTTTTTTCTATGTCGTTTAGAATCATGAGATCAAAGCGTATTTAACATGGAATAGGTATTTTGGGATATAGTGGCCATATCCTGGTACACCGGTAGACTCCTTGAGCGGTCTACTTTACCTTTACCCAAAAAATGCCCTGAAGCTCATATAAAAAACACTCCAGAACTTAATTTGTCTCATGACGGTTAAAGGTAGACACAATTTAACGAACCCATTTTCATTATTAAAATTAGGCATTAGGCATTCTTGTACTGTGCACTTTTTTCATAAAAAAAATCCAATGTTTTTTTGTGAGTAATTTGTCTTTTCATTATTAGTTTGAGTTGAACACTGCTATTAGTTATACAAAGTTTTAGAACCGAAGACCAACAAACGTATTTTATGCAGCTGAAATTGTTTGTAGATTTACCAAGATTTGCTAGACTGCCGCTGCGGCAAATATGCGTATTCAAGAGGGAGAAATCAACTAGACATATTTTTAGAATTTTTCTAGAATAAACAGCTTGTGTTTTATATAATATTCCAAACGTATGTATCAAATTACGGCGTTAATCTGGTGATACTCTAAGGTGATACTCTAAGAAAGCCTTAGCGTGAAACTTTAAAGGCACAAATGTCAGCTTCCACAAAACATACAAATTTGAAATTGCTACTCCTTGTTTGCTGTGCTACTACAAACAATCCAATCACCTCAAAATTTGTCGAAAAGTCACAAGACAGTTATGTGTCCACCGGCAGTAGAGATGTGCAACAGTTTGTTAATTTTATATTTTGATTTTATATCAGTTCAGTCGAAATAGAATAGATAAAAATGAGGGTTGGGTTGATAGAATAAGTATAAACAGAGAGATTCGACATTTTCGTTATAAAAACCTAGAAACTCACCTCCACGGTCCGTCGGCCAAATGTCAGAGATCCGCTCCGTCGTGTTCCGGATCGAGCTGGTTCACCGAGTTGGCATTCGACTGGAACAGACTGGTACTGACCATGTCCGATTGGTGCTCCGAGCTGGCGGTGATGGCGGTCTGCAGTGTCGACTTAGCCGCCGCAGCCGATCGTTTTGATTTCCCTATTAGCCAGAAAAACACTTTTCCCAGTAGGTTTTTGCGAGTGTGGGTATGGATGTTGGGGTTGACGGAATGGATGATGGTAATGATGGTGGTGGTGACGTGATTTATCGAGGGTGGAAAAGTGCAGGCAAATACATGATGGAGTAAAAAAAAAACATGGGAAGAAAGAAACCGGGGATGCAAAAAGTAAAACGAAAATTAACTCAACTAGCACGGTGCAGATAAAACTAACACTATTGAAAGTAAAATCTATATAGCTATAAAATTGTAGAAAGCATGAAACAATTGTTTATTGTTCATTGACTTGTGATGACGCAGGCATTTATCTAAGTTGATTGCTTACAGCAAAATCATGCTTGAAAAGTTCGTGTAAGTATGGAAGAAAGCAAAATCATCTTTCAACAATGGTATGATATCGAGGACGTGAAGGATCTGAACGATTGGAAGTCGTATGAACTTTTCTTGTTTGAGAAAGTCACAAGCAAATGCCAATAAACAGTATTCTAGATCTGTTCCAAATCTCAACGTTCCGTTGAAGTCTGTAACTGTCGATAATTTTGATAGGTTTCCGGAGAACACTTACCTCCGGAGAAGCAGAGACAACCCTTGTCGTCTGCTGTGCAGTCTTTCTTCCCATTGTTTAGCTCTCGGTTGAGCTCGTTCATACAACGTTGATAGTAGTCGTAATCCTTCAGGTACCACACCGGAGGCCACCGGTGCTCCCGCAAGTAGTCCTGATTATCCGGATGTAAACTCTTCAGACTTCGGGGCGAAACCTTGCAGATGCTGTTGTAGTTAACGCACAGATACGACATACACCACTCGGCCAGTTGGTGCGCATTGTGCAGCTAAAATCGAATGGAAATCAAAATTCAATTTGAGCTTTTACCCATAACATGTGCGGTTCACGTACCTTAACTGACTCCAGCAATCTCAAGCAGTGTTCGACCGCTTCACTGGTTTCGTTCTGCGACATTCTCGTGAGATCTTCGATCACCCGGCATTCGACCAGGTTGAGTAGCCGTGGCAAACACAGACGGTTCGCCAGTTCCAACAGGTTCAGACATTTGTCAGCCGAAATGGGCGGAATTTCGTCCGTGTAGAGATAGCACAGCAGCTTGTGGAATGTGTATTCAGTTACACCTGGAAGTACAATCTAAGCAAAACAGGGCAGGGTTGTGTTAGGTTTGCTTCAAGCGGGAGAAATTCTGGATGATCGGTTACCAAATTAGCATGTGCCTCGCGGAAGTCCCCGTTGAGCATGGCCTTCATTACGTCACACCGGGCTACCAACATGGCTCGATGGGCCTTCATGTGGCCGTCGTCCAACTCGAACGTGATATCACCAAAGATGCCATCCTGAACACAATATTTCTCTAGATTTTGTTTCATGCACTGAAAGAAAGCATTACCATAAGTTTGATTGGTTTATTCATTGGAAAAGCCAAAACAACTTACCGTCGAATAATGCTGAATGGTTTCATCGTTCATGAAGCTCTGGTTTGCTTGCGTATTGGACAAAAGTACCATCAATTGAGGAAGTTCTAAAAATTCAGAAGCTTGGCGTATTTCCTACAAAACAAGTTTTAATGAAATTGACTGATTAGGTTGTGTCCAAAAATAAATTCGTATTTGCGAGATTTTTTAACTAAGCTTACAGTCTAGATTAGCAAAACTTGTGTTAAGAAGACTATCATAAGTGCCATTGCTAGAAAAATGTATTAGTTTCACTTATCGATTAATATTAAAAAGATTTATTTAGCTTAGGATTAAACTGGCTAATTGAATCGTAGAAAAAAATGGTGTTCAAAATTAAAGTCAACCGAGAGAAGGAGTAAGTAGATAACAAAAGTGTTAAACCAAACCGACGATCTGAACCACTTGTAAGAAGAGTTGAGAAGTTCAATTTCAAAACAAACTAAGGTGCAGTTTCTGGATAAATTCATTGAAAGAAATTAAACAACCAAATCTAGAATAAGGTTTTTAAATCAAAACTAGAGAGCAGCCAACCAAATAAAAGCATTTAAAAACAATAAACCATGACTTAATTCGAATTTTACAGTACAGAAATCATCTTTAAAATTACAAGTTAACTAACAAATTTGATTCATTTTTGCTCTTAGTATTCTATGATCATTGTCTAACATTCTGCGTCATTTGCCTTAATGTTATCACTAGAAGTCAAACGTATTCAACGCTACAAGAACTGCACTTAAGTAAAGAACCCTATGAACGGTCAGTTTATTTATTTACCAGTATTAATCCTATTGTAGCCGTCTGTGAGGAAATGAAAAAAAGTTGGAAAAGATACACGTTCGTAAGAATAGAAGGGAAACCAAACAGATATGAAAGAAACGGTGTAAGTATCGATTGTTGCGTTTTTGGTTACAACCAGATATGGTTTATGGTCAGTTATTTATTTGGGTACTACCAAATACTTGTGAAAATGACTAGCAGCAGCACTACTAAAATAAAAATCCATTTTATTGACGATCGAAAGTTAACCCCTCATTCTTTCCAAATTTGCTTGTTCTCGACGGCCTCATCAATTCTAGAAAATTGCAAATTGGGCAAAGTCTTTCAGGAGGTCAACTGCATATAATCGCATATCAGTCCCATAAGAATTTTCATCAATTTTGAGATATCAACGCTATCCACTATCAATTGGCATCTACTTTCATATTATGTGATAAAACTATGGACATTGATCATGTGAAAACAACATCAGGTCAGTTCGTCCCATCAAGCAAAATAATCGCATGTCAGTCCCATCCTGAAATTCAATAGCCCATAGTTCAAGTTAAAGGTCTGCTTTTTGAATTGCCATATTTTTCGCTGATATAACAAAACATGCAAGCTTCATTGCAACAGATTTTAACTTGAAAAAATTATCAATTAATTGACTTTTATTTATCAAATATTTACATGGGAATTGCACTTCGTAACATCGACTGCCATTTTCTCAATGCCTACTTTTTCGATATGGGACTGATATGGGATTATAAGCAATCAAGACCATTCGGATGATAGGTACTTAAGTTCAGATTACTATCATAACGCGGCGCTAGTGTGCATTAGAAACTGCAAGTTTGATACAAAGCCTCATTTTTCTCACTCACGTTTGCACTTTTTTGCTCATGTCGTACACTTTTTTTTCTTTAATGCTATGGACTATTTAAGTTCAACAAGAAAACAATTGTCAATTGAAAATAAATAAATACATATGACGCGACGTTCTTCTTCTTATTGGGCTTTGATTTTACGCCAGCTTTCAACTCAGTGTTCTACATGCATTTCCATAGTTGATAATTGAGAGCATTCTTAGCCTGTACAATTTTTCCATTAGTATAATTGTGTGGCAACTACGATCTAGATGTGGGTAAAACGAATCAACTTGCTGAGCGGATCTGACAATTCAACTCACTAAGGTGAGCCGATTCTATTGAACAGCTCTTCAGTTCATTTTGGAATTAACTCATACACTCAAAGGTGAAAAATCGGAAAAGAAATCTGTGCTTTTGGTTACCCAAAACCAAGGTTAAAACTACATCAAAATGTGACCATTAAACCCGTGGCTTACAGCGTGGCTCCACTTTTCAAATGGAAAGGGATGCGATGAGCTGGACGGGTCCGAGAGCTGAAAGACTCACTTGATCCCGCTGCCCCTGGACCAATTTCAATAATTTTATCACCAATCGATCAGATATCAGAGTTGGTTGGAAATGCTAACATGAAGCTTTAGTGTGATAATTTATTAGCTAGATATGATCTTTAGAAGAGGGTAGGTGGATAGTTCCGTTGGAGTACGGCAGTATGAAAATTGAATAGAAGATGAAAATGAGCGAAGGGCCATTAATGCGACAGTATAAAGACGAACGCACATCTTTTGCCTAACCCGTACGATGTACGCGGAGACTTGAAGTATGTGTGTATGTATGATCAGATATATTTCTACGCATCTCTTAAATTTAAGACTTTATCATTTTTTTCAAAATGTCCTATTGTAAATTGCACGAATGTGCAACTGTTGCTTTGATAATTAAAATGATCACCGATTGCCTGCGAAAAGCGAATTCCCTAACACAGATTTCAAAGTTGAATTCCATCCAGTCTCACCAAACGGTGTTTATTCAATCACCGCATGGTGAGTGGTGGTGTTCTCCAGTACACCATGAAAGGCTGCCTGCAAGCAGCGAGCTGCAGCCCACATGAGCATCCATAGAAGGAGGAAGAAGCCGCACCGCTATTGATCGGAATCAGTAGCTATCTATGCCAAGCGCGTCACTCTCATTCCAAACAACATACAGCTCACCAGCCTCATCTGTGTTTAACACCCTAATAGCTCAGTATTACTCAACCAAATGTTAGTTTGCGTGAGCGTGCCTTGAATTCCTAAAAATCATCGAGAGAAGTGATTGTTTACAAAAGCTGTAAAGTCTCATTCCAGTCCAGCTATCTATTTTGAGATTCACTGTAGGTAAATAAATTTAAATTGTATCCAAATTGCCACACGCATCAATCATTTCACAAGTATTCGAAAGGAAAAAAAATCGTTATATAGGTCTTTCACTGTCCAACCCGCACGTAATGACTAATACAGGGACACAGGACAACATTACAGTTATTCCTTAACGACTATCGAGCTGAATGTGGTCAGATAATGCATGAAAATGGTTCAATCTACTCTCTAAACATGAAACTGAACAACACAAGTGGTTTTGTCTCAAAGAACACAAGGACGACACAGAGAAAACAAATAGAACGAAGTTTGATAAATGACGGAAGAAAGAAAAAAAAATGGCACAAAAATCAATCGTAAATGAAACACGATAGAAAACAAACAACCAAAAATCCATCCAGGGTAAGTGTGTCAATTTTTGGCCGACATCCAATTTGAAATAATTGTTTATCGCTGTAAAATGTGAAATTTAAGATAAGGTCAATTAGAGGACCACTAGGACCAAAAACTGGTACACTTACCCTAGCTTATAATTCATATAAAGTGAGGCATTATTGGTAGGAAAAAAAAATTAAACAAAAGATAAACTCAAGTGGCTCGTGAGAGGGAAAGTTCGGTGCCGGAGAAGACATGCCACAAGAAATCGAGACGAGCCAATTATGTTTTGCCCAAGTTTTGCATCAATTTCGATTCTGGTTTCTTGTTCTGTTTCGGTTGGAAGAGATAATAAATCTTCTAATCGTGTGAGGATAGACAGGAATAAATATGGTTTTTTTCAGAGATTAGAAAAAGAAAAGCAAGAAAGACGCAGACGGAAAGACCAAAAAAGAAAACCAAGAAATATGACACTCTAGAGACGTACAAAAATTAGCAAAATGGAACTGGGTGTTGAGATGAGATTTATCTTTGCGGCGATGAGATGGAAAGGAGAACGCTCAGCGAATAAGTAGATGAATTGAAGGAGTGGGCATAGAGACAATTGAACACTGGTGAAAGCGATTTGTTAAGGTGGGAATGATCGATTGAAATGCATTCTGAACTTACTTGCAAATCGAGACACTCCCGATCGATTGCTCCGGTATAGATGAACTTCAAGCATTGCTGCATGGCTTGCGGCGTGATAAGCTTACTCACTGAGACTATTGTTTGCGTTTGGGTGTAGGTGTGTTTTCCATTTTCGATCTAAAACAAAACATACATTTTAACAACGGCCATTTCGATGGAGGCGCATGGTTATTACCTGGAAAATCCTAATACTCTGAAACACTGGATGGTGCAACTCGCGATAGAGATCCTTCTTTGGCTCCACCGTAGGCAGGGCCTGGTAACTAGAGCGCCGCTTTAGTTGTTCCCACATTCTATACAGAAAGCGTCGTTAGATTTGCTTCACAGTTGCCCAGGATGTGTAATATTATGCATATTATAATACAAACCTATTGGGAGCTTTGTTCTGTTCGGCCCGAATCAGACATTCGGTGTCCTCGTTGAAGTCGGCAGTCGTCGACTCGCCGAACGTTGAACTAACCATACTGGACTCGCTGCTACTTCGGGCACCCATATCAGAGATGTCCATCATCAGTAACCTGCCATTTAGATGGGAATAGAGTACTTAGTATTGCAACTGGTTCGTCCGTTTCCGGCTAGACGGATGAATTGTCAATGCTAACCTATGAAATGCATTAGAACTACTAGCTAACATAAATCTATGTACGGAAAAACGTATAGTACCGACAATTAATACTAAATCTGTATAGCACTGCGAATTGAACATGTTTAGCATATCTTTAGTATGAGTGCCGGTAATGACCGTCACTTCCGGTGGCGGAGGTTTGGGCGGTCGGAATGGGGCCTGCAACAAAAGGAAGCAACGATCGATCATTGTATCCGTTGAAGGTCACAAATTATTCCCGATAGACATACTTGTAATATCGGCCGCTGCACCCGCTTCAGGTTGGTCATCCAAAAGCGATGCTCTCGACGGGCTATCAGGGCGGCACGGATTGCATTCTCGAACACCTCGTTTACGCCAAAGTACGTAAACACACTCGTCTCGTAGTAAGCGACGCCAAGCTCTTTGGCCACGGCACGCGCCTCGTCCGGCATCACCAGGTCGCTTTTGCGGGCCGCCCGTACAAATGGACTCCGGTCGCCAAAGTAGGACAGATAGGTCTCATCCCGGTACATGTACCGGAGGTCGTTCTTGCAACCGACTAGAATCACAGGAGTATCTGGACAGAATTTACGTATCTCCGGGTACCACATGGCGCGGCAGTTGCGCAGCGATACCGGATTCGCTATCGAGAAGCATAGCAGCACCACGTCGGATCTGAAAGAAAAAAGAATCACACATATCAAATCGCAAGTCTTGGTTACACTCAGTAAAACTTATCCTCTAAATCTATGAGACTTGGTTGGATAGTTTCTATGCCTATCTTTTGGTTCCAGAGATATGATCAAATTAGTTCAATTTATGCATCTATAGATTGTTTTAATTTCACTACATTTATTTGTTGATGCTACATTTTATCTAATTCTACAAGACTGAATTGATAGCAGCGCCGGTGGTGTAGTGGTAAGCGTGATTACCTATCACCACAGCAGGCCTGGGTTCAATCCCAGTCGGCGCCGCCGGGATATTCTGTGAGGCATAACACTCTGATTTGTTCTACGATTTAAGTTAATTTAAGCCTGAAAATTTAAAAAAAAAATGTATTGTTCATAAGCTTTCCAATCGAAAATTTGGAAAAAAAATAAGAATCAAAATGTGCAATTTATTTTTTATTTAAGTTTTAACCAATATTTTACCCATTTTACCCAAAATTAGTAATAAAAAAATTTCGTGTTTATTTTTTTCCTGGCACGTACTTTTTTTTCCAACAATTTTAATAAGACGCCGTTTTTATTGAAAGAAACGTTTTCGTTTTATGATTTTTTCGAAAATTATTGAATCCACCATTTGACATTTTTTGCAGGATTCAAAATGACTGAATTTAACCTCAAATGTGGTCCTGTCAGATCAATTCGTCATTTGGTGTGGAATTGCTCCGAACTTAAGTGAATTTCTTGGCGGTTCAGGGAAATTTGAATAAGTTTAGCAAACTTGGTTGAAATTCAGCGCCATTTTAAGCCATGAAAAAAAGTAGAAGTTTAGGGAACTTCTTATAAGTTAACGCAACTTTCCAGAAATTCACGGAAAAATCCACAAGTTCAGTTAAGAAAACTTCGGACAAGCTAAAGCGATTGGAAAGAAATTCATGGAGCCTCGTTTGAGTTCCTGGAACTGAGTATAAGTTCAAGAAACTTTATGGTAGCGGCGCCGGTTGTAAAGTGGTAAGCGTGACTGCCTCTCACTCCAAAGGGCCTGGGTTCAATCCCAGTCGGCGCCGTCGGGATTTTCTGAGGCATATAATCTGTGATTACGCCTTTCTTTGGAAGTGAAGTAAAGCCCTTGGTCCCCGGTCCATGAGTTGATGGGTCGATAGAAAGGGTCCAGGTGTGGGAGCTGTCTTCATGGCGCCGGTAGCCACCGTAACTTCGAAGATCTTGTCTTGTATGCGACTCCACTCAATAGCAAGATCAAGCTGGACTGCTGTTCTGAATTCACAATATCCATAAAATTGTTAGTTGAAAATGGTTGATTGAACCCGTCAACAGAGACACTTGCGTGAAATCCGCACATGAGCAATGAACAAAAACAAAGAATGGAAAAAGGTTGATCATTCGATGTTTTGTCCATTAGACCATCTGTCCCCTTTAATTTAATTCGACCTTTTCTCCAACTATCTTTCATTCGACTATTTATCCTTCGACTTTTTTCTTATTCGGCCTTTCATCCTTCGATTTATTGTCATTCAACCTTTTGTCATTCGACCTTTTCAAGAGTAAATTTTCAAATAGCCACATCTACTTTTGTAAACAAACATTCAAACGACAATTTGTCAAAATTCTTAGCTCGCCCACGCAAACTAGCACCAGCATATTGTTGGGAAAACTTTACCCTCTCTGATGGCGGTGTAAATTTGCGTGCTGCCAGGTAGTGGTTACAGTTCTAATCTGTAAGAATACATTGTCATTAATGATGGATTCGAATAATTTAGGAATGCAACTCTACGGTAATTTTTTATATCAGACTGTTTAACACTTTTAAAAATTTGAATTAATTTAATTAATAAAATTTGATTCCTTCCAAATCGGAGGAAGCACACTCGACTCCAAGGATAAATTAAACAGCCAGAATAAAGGTTTTCCTGGCTGCTTCGAAACTGACTTTAAAAAAATAGGTGGTAAACCACGGTCCAGCACCCTTTGAAGTATCCAAGGTTTCAAGAGCATAGAGAATTTCCTTGAGAATTAAATTATCAACTGCAATGTTCTTCATTGGCTCGGGGAGATACTTACAATATCGCTCATTCTCATCGTGAATTGTATAAACGTCCTGAAACAAGTCAGCAAATAAGCTACTAATCTGGCTAGGAGTATTGCCGATCCTACTGTCTAATTGCATTTTTGATGGAAAGCTCTTGGATTTTCGAATTTCTTTAACATAAAGGCTGACTGAAAGTAAATTTTTACGCACAAAAAGACCAGCAATTCGTGATTCAATAAGTTGACGTTATTTCTAACGCGATCGACTACTTGGTGTAAATAAACCACTGTCATAGATTTTCAATTCCCAACACTAGAGGCACGCGAGGGCCGTACCAATTTACTATTAGTCAACCTTAAGTTAAAAAAGGATTTTGGGTCTGACTTAATGTTAGTTTTAATCTTTCCATTGTGCTCTTCATATGCATTTTCAATTTCTAAATTAAGTTGGTCACATATGGTAACATAATAGGAAACATTTTCATCATTTTTATTTCTCTTGTACACTTTATGAGCTTTCTGCTTTCTATTTCAGGGGAAACATGTCAGAAGGGTATAACTCAAAACGTAAACAATGACTTTGAACGACGATTTCTCTTGAATGACCACACACCCACGGAATCTGATTACACCAGCTCATAGAACAAACTTTTCTCTGTCAGATTATTTAGTTCGTTTGTGTGGGTTTGTAATCATTCGTAAGAAACCGACGATCCAAGTCATTGTTTACGTTTCGAGTTAGACCCTTCTGACATGTTTCCCCTGATTTCTAAGATTTATTATCTGTCTATTGTACCATATTGGTGCTTTTGTATTGGCTTTTTTCTTTTGCTTTATGGGCACTGTCTGTTCTAGAATAGAATAAATAATCAAATAGAATACGTCAACTTCATGTTCTGCATCATAACTACGGATTACAAGTTGCCAATCTATACAGTTTAATTTATTTTTGATAGCTCCATAGTCTCCCTTACTGACAAATTATTATGCTTACTGATAAATTATTATTCACCATTGCAGTTTTTCAATTATCATTAAGTAGTATTCAATAGCAGTTTGGAACACTTCATTTTTCCAAAGAGGAGAAAGTGACTCTGATACGCAGAAATCATCAGTCATGGTAGTAAATAGCAAATCTAAATGGATGTAATGTCAGCCTAAATGCCCCTAATCTGGTCCCATACATAAATTCAACAATCGACTACATTTTCAATAGCGACCACCAAAAATATTCATTAGTACCGTCTCAATGACGCGTTCATCTAGGTAAAATTGATAAATAGCAGATTTTTAGCGATGGGCCCCAACCTTAGATCCATACGCCAGCATTAGAGCCATTTCCCCTACTATCAAAAACTCTACCTGTGAGCAAAATGTCATAAAATTCTGAGACCCCTCGGCCCAAACCTGTCCGATAATAAAAAAAAAATCCGCTTCTGTTTTCTAAATTCGATTATTCCACAATTCCAACTGCAATCGATTATATTGCTATACCCTAAATATGTATGTAGGGTAATTTGCCCATTGTTGCACACTTTACATTGTTTGCAGTTCAGCATTTCAAGACCAACAATTGAAATGGCCTCAACTAAATTTTGTAAACAAACCTTGTAAGGCCATTTCCTCGCAAACCGAAACCTACATTCGCAAACCCAAACCACAATCGGGTAGAGGAGAAACTCCCCTACCAGTTCATTATGTTGGTATCCCTTGGCGGACTTCGGTTTGCGAGAAAATTGCCTTACAAGGTTTGTTTACAAAATGAAGTTGAGGCCTTTTAAATTGTTGGTCTTGATTTATCAATGACCATGGCGTTTACCGCCCATGGTGACATGATAATCAGTGATCAAATGTTCCAGTCCGCATCGTGCTCTCTTGCCGTGCGGATCTATTTGCTTTTTGCTGAAGGAAGTGTTACTACTACCTAAAGCTACAACAAATTTAAACAGCACTTTTCAGTGCTCAACCTGTAAAATTTCTACCTTGTTCAACTTTATTCCTCTTCGATCCTTGTTTGGACCCTACCCGAGGTAATCCTTCTTGGATATCGATTTGGAAAATTCCTCTTCGATCCTTCAGATTCTTATTGTAATCTGCTTGGAAGTCGATTTGGATAATGATGATGATTAATGACCCCTGCTTCAAATTTTTCATCTGTACCTACTCCCCTCGCTGCTAACAATGGAGCTACCTATGCTGCTATTGCAGCGGGTAGAAATCAAAATACTAACCAAAGTAATTCTAACGGAAATTTTGACTTAGGAAGCATTACTGCCCCTAAAATGGAATTTTTACAGAAATCATTAATTGATATGATTTCTGATATGCTTAAATCTAACTCCATGTTTGATGCTATTCAAACTGGAGTAAAATTTGCAAATAATATTGTCATGACTTTAAAATTCAGTAATGGATTTTAAAGCATTAAATATTGTAAATTGGAATGCTCGATCTCTTAAAGATAATGAAGACGAGCTATTTAACTTTTTGAGAGTTCATAACGTGCATATTGCCGTTATAACTGAAACGTTCCTTAAACCTGACCATAAGGTTAAGAAGGACGCAAATTACTTGATTTATAGAAATGATCGTCTTGATGGACCCTGTGGTGGCGTTGCCATCATTATTCAAAGACGAATCAAACATAAAATTCTTTCTTCATTTGAAACCAAAGTTTTTGAAACTTTGGGAGTTTCTGTTGAAACAAAATTTGGACAACTTACGTTTATAGCTGCCTATTTGCCATTCCAATGCTTAGGCCAGAAAAAGCATTTTCTCAAGGGTGACCTCCAGAAACTTACCCGTCATAGGTCTAAATTCTTCATTATTGGTGATTTTAATGCAAAACACCGCTCATGGAATAATGCTCAAAGCAATTCCAATGGTAATATTCTGTTTGATGATTGTTCTGCAGGTTATTACACTATTCAATATCCAAATAGCCCAACATGCTTTTCTTCT